CGTAGTGTTCTTCGCAGTCGCCAGTGTACGAACCTCAAATCCCATGTTCTCAGATCCATCATTCACAGATAAAAAGTAAAGTTATCCCTGGAAGCCATGAAGACGCATGGACACCTATCTTGATCTCGGCGCTAGGTGCAGGTAAGTGGTCAGCTTCACGCCCCGGCTGCTTTACCACCGGGGAAACAGGGTCCAGTACGCATTTTGTAGAAAGCTGGGCAGGGCCCAGAGTCGGCCTGGACATTATGCAATAGAAAAAGAACTCTTGCCTCTACCGAGAATCGAACTCCGACTTCTCTTCCGTCTAGCCTCTAGCCTAGTCGCTATGCCTACTGAACTGTCTCGGTTCTTGCACAGTGCACAAAATGGCGGACAGAGATCGAGAATGAAGGTCGTTTTAACAGTTGATGTGAGGACAAGATCCCTGCAGAGTCTAGGCGTGCACATGTGTGTACTGCTAGAGCTGTGCTCCCGCTGGTCAGGAAGACACTCATTTAGGTCACTGACAATTTCTTTGGCGTATTGTGATGTGTGGGGCGTTTCTAGGAAACGAATGGATGAACACTTTGCCACGTAGAGATTGATTCTTGGGAACCAACTGCTTACGGAATACGGTTTACATGGCGATGGAAACTGAAAGTTGTAAACACTTAGAAAACGAAGCCGTTGCTTGCGAATGAACACAAGATTCCGACACAATGCATTCATGAAGAGCAGTAAGGGAACCCTTGGAAGCGGTGATCTCTATTCAGTTCTCTGGCATTTATAAAAGGAGGTCATTCGTGAATTCAATTCAGTCAGAAATTCATTCGTAAGAGAATTCAGAAGGCAGTTCAATAGTTGAAGTGTTAACCAGATAATATTCATTACCAAGCAAAGACTAGGAAGCAGACGTTAAAGATATTACGTATTTTATATGTTATAGTTACAGTACTTTCGTTGTAATTATTTGTAGCTACGACTATACAGCTACTCAAGAACCCATTGTTATTAGTCACGCTAACCAGGAACACGTGACAATATTTTTGATGAAAGGAACCCAGTGGCAGAGCAGAGCGACAGTAAATGATGTCAAGACAAAAGGAAGTCTACACTGAAGGGTCCCAGAATTGCGTGACTTCGGTTGTCCGAACTTTATGTCTTCCTGCCCCACGTCTTTACTGAAAGTAGTTTTTATCGGAAATGAGAGACGATTTTATTTATTAACGCAGCGGAACACTGACAGAAGGCCGGAAACCAAACCGGTCAGGTTGCTAATGATTAAAGCATCCTCCAGGATAACAGCTTCAGCTGGTCTCTTGTCGCCCTGTCCTCTCGCCTAGCAGACCACATGGTCCCGTGAGCAAGTTCACGGCGTCAGCAATACACTCACATTTGGAGGACACGAAACCTGAGTTGCTTTCTGTGGATCTTGAAGCTTTCTTTGCATTGATGTTCGCTTGCCGAGGGTACGGATCTATAATTCGGAAAGGCCAACGTGAAAATATCGCGTTACATAAAGGCACCAATTCATTTATTCTGTATTTCAAACAACCCTACATCACAGATAGAAAAAGTTTCTAGCAAAATGTAAAAGGTAAAATAAAGATAAAGCTACCCCTGTAACAATCCGTGAAGGCCCATCGGGTTGTGAAACATCGAGGCTCCAACATTTTCTCTAGACACAATGTTTCGGAGACTGGATTCTGTCTCAAAAGACCTAGTTCCTATCTCCGAAGACTGATAACATCCACAAACATAATATTTGTGTTCAAGAAATATTTTGCTCTTTGTTTAATCCTAAGAACCCTCAGCTACGCCCTACCCTGAGCCAGATGAATACAATCCATATCCTCACACCTTATTTTGGTGGTATCCTCGCCCTAGGCTTGTGTTTTCCACCTGAGCTTGTCCATTCAGGCATTTACTATTTCTGCCATACATTTCGTAATTTTCCTCAGTGCTTCCAGACAACGGCATGAACTTTCTCTCAATGTTCCTCGTTTACATGGCTCTTCTCCGTTCCACACTGTCTAGGCCATAAGCTGCATAGTTATGTGTGGGTGGAGGCCTCTGACTTTACGTCCTCTTGTGCCCAGCGGCCAGGGCATGCTTAAGTGTGTATACCCCAGAGGGCGAGTAATCCCCCCCACACACAATTTAAAACATTCCGCTTTAACAAAATTTCGTCATGATCAAGAACACGAAATTTCCAGGCACTCTGATGAGGAACCCCATTTGAATCGGAATTATTGAAGGAAAATACAGTTTTAAGTATCTTGAGTGTTTGTAAAACTATATTGTGAAGAAAATTTGATAAGGGTTGAGGTTTTCGCAGCGGGAACTATTAAGAATGCCGTATTCTGGGATGTGGCGCCGTGTAAATCTTGTGTGAACCGATGTTTCGGAGGAACGTCGGGTGACATAAGATCTACACGGCGCCACATCCCAGAAGGCGGTATTCTTCAAATTTAATAAGGTTTATTTTCTTTTAGACCTAAACCATCTTTAATTTTTTTTATTGCTAGTGGGGTGGGACTAAATCCCTTGTACTGCTGCCACTTCTAGCCTATTGTACCAACCCCAGATAATAGGCGAGGGTGATTGTGGAGCAATTCGTGGAATGAAGATTAGCAGGGGAAACCGAAGTACTCGGGGAATACCTGCCCCTGAGCCACGTTGTCCACCACAAATCCCACTTGACCAGACCCGGAGTTGAACACGGGCCGCCGCTGTGAGAAGCCAGCGACTAACCACTTGAGCTATGGCGTGGTCCATCTTTAAACCTTAATTTTATTCTAAGAACCTGGATCCAGAAGAAAGTATAAATGTAATAAAATGGGTGTTAAGTTTTGTCTCTTGATTCTACAAATCGGTTGGACACTGGAAACGCAAGATTCTGAAATTGTCGCCGTTGGGGAACGTCCAGTCTACCATTCGCCGTGGTCCAACCGAGCTGCATAATACAGGAAGAGGTTGACGACGAGAAGGAGGAGGTGGAGGAAGAGGTTGACAAGGACGAGGAGGAGGAGGAAGAGGTTGACGAGGACGAGGAGGAAGAGGTTGACGAGGACGACGACGAGGAGGATACACAGTGTTTCGTATATCGGGCTCGAGTTGGTGTCCCTAACAACTACAAGTTGAGGTAGTAGTAGGCTGAATATAAAGCGACTGGTTAATGATATTCTCCTCCGAGTTACAGAGACCAATTAAGAGAGACAGCTGTTGCTGGTCACAGGCAGAACAGATAGAAGCGCTGCTAGTGGTCGTTATGTGGAAGCGCGTGATGCAGAAAACTCACCAGCCGATATCAATGCCCTTCTACTAATATCGTCTTTAACAGTAGTTAGAATTGACGGTTACTCGTAACGAACCGTTTAACGAAGTAACTAAATAACTCCACGAAGCTGAGACCTCCTTAAGAAGCAAACAGTCAAGAAATACCCCACGTTTTATAGAATTCGAGTATCACTGGTGCTGTTGGGAATTGAGACTTCTTTCCCCTTTAATTACTTGACTTACGATCCATGACTGCATAGCGTCTGGTCTACTAGCTGTTGCCTGTTACTTGCCGGGCGGTAACGGAGTTACCCGGAAACGTTACATTGACAGCTCAGCTGCCACTGCTTAGCAAAGGCGTGTAAACAGTCGTTGCTATGTAAGGTCTACAACAATATGTGACGTGTGCTAACCAATCGCAAGCTAGAAACCATTCGCTGCCTAGCAACGGCTGCGTAAACAATTGGTGCTAAGCAAAGTCTGCAACAATACCGACAGTGACATGTTTTCTATAGGTCCGGCTCAAGGTTATATAAGAAGATACATCGAGTGGGAGTTTACAGTTCTACAGTTCCACATTCTGGTGAGAGTAGTTAACACGAAATGATCGATTGTGAAATTATTTGTTCAACATTTCGTGTTATAGTTACGTGGAAGAGTAATAAAGTGACATCACAAGAATACGCCTCGAGATCTTGTTTCGCGACAGGACCATAGTAATTTGCAATAATTGAAACATCGAAATTCTCAGTACAAAGATAGAATTTCTGTATTTTCCGATAATGAGTGTACATAAGGTGAGTTATTGTTTGTATTCATATTTCGTCCAGTTTGTGTGACAGTATCTCAACCTGAAGCGTACCCAACTAACTAACTTACCAACTCCGTGATATCGAGAACTCAGCCGGCCTTAAATATTGCCCAATTTTATGCACCCCTAAGGCTCATCACCATTTCTGTCGAGACCCAAAGTTGAACCCCCCCTGTTATTCAGCCAGTTCTTTCAGATTTATACTTACAAGTTAAATTTGAATTTCTTCCATGAGGTCTGTTGCCTCCTGGGTACCCGGCTAATATATACCCGTTACCAATTTCTTCCATTCTTGCTGCGTGCTACATGTCCACCAATATCAATTTTATTTCATCATTCTAACATTTTACACGAGAAGTACGTAATAATAGTAGGACCGCCTCTGTGGTCTAGTGGTCAGAGTTCCTGGCTACACATCCAGAGGTCAGGGTTCGATTACCGGCGCTACCAGATTTTCTGAAAAGTAGTGGGTCTGGAATGGGGTCCACTCAGCCTCGTGAGGATAGTTAAGGATCCGGTCTAGAAAACCGATATTAACGGGTGTGGGGATCCGTTGCGCTGACCACGTGGCCCCCTCTATCCGCTAAAGTTGGCACTAACTTCGCCGACAAGCGGCGGTCGCTCGGTCGGTATAGTTCGCTTCTGGACTACAGGCCACGGAGTTTGTTTTTTTTTTTGTAATAATAGCAGTTTTCCCACCCGTCTGAACAACTATCGCGCGATAAATTAAAGGTACACGGAGATGCGCGGTATCGTTCTACAGCAGGAAGTGGACTGCACTTCGCTTCGCCGGACTTATACCGCGACAGAAATCATCTAGGCTTCCTGTACCCAGCAGCCGGATGTTGCTAGGAAAACCCTATCCGACCGGATGTTTCCCTTATCAAGTGCTAGCATACGCAACCACAAAGGCCGACGAACTTCTTCACACATCAGCAGGACACCGTAGTGTGAGGTCTGCACTGTACTGCAAGATGGTGAGTAAATCTCTGTTCAAAACGCGCGAGGATATACACACATACATTCGTATGTAAATACACCAACACAGGTTCATCATAGCCACGGATCAGGCCAATGGCGCTCACCCTCGTGCCTATCGTGTGTCGATTTATGTAAACATAGTAAGCAACTGCTAGCTTCTCCGTGTACTTAATATCCTATCAAATATCAATCGTGGTTGAACATAAACCTATCCTTATGTTAAACACTGACATTGTTTCAACAACCAAGTTACAGACGTAAACGGTAAAATTGTCACTGTGCGTAAATAATTAAACACTACGCCATGAAGGAGTATGGGGAAGTGGATGTATAGATCCACATTTTCTTGGCGTCGGTACTAACTGGAAATGAGTGGTCAGTTTCATGGCCCTGCCGCATTACCTACCAGAAAATAGCCCTCGGTACCCATTAGATAGGAAGTTGGATGGACCCCAGAGCCCGTCTGGACGGTATAGAGAAGTGAAAATTCTTCCCCCACCGGGACTCGAACTCCGACCAGCCCGTAGCCAGTCACTATACCTACTACGCTATCCCGGCTCTTAAAGTTACAGAGGACCGAATGAAATGAAGCATCATGAATTGTTGGTAGGTATGGATTTGAAAGGAAGCGGGCTTGACATATTTAAAAGCAATATGCCAGTATTCATTTGTAAAAAGCAAGATAAACCATAAAAACCCCTTGCATGACAACGGGTAATAGGCTAATATTAGAGCCACGTGTTTGAAATTCCAGAGCATTACCCTTACTCCAATTAATTAAACATATTAAGTACAGTTTTTATACTTAATTATCCAACGTTCCAACAACGATACGAGACAAGCTTCTCATTGGAGCCTCACCCTGGCTCACCAACGGTCATACCATTCGTTACTCTCACATCAGCTCACCATCGAAAAGGAAGATGATTTCTCAGTATCACAATTGAAATTGCTCATAACTGCCTGATATTTACTTCGAAGCAAAATAGCTTTGTTTTAAGTTTATTTTTTTGATTCTTTCTTCTATAATGCTTCAAACCGGAAGGTCGCTTGATCGAATCCCAATAAGGTGGATTTTTTTCAATTGACCTAATCCTTCCAGCCGCACTATGACCCTATGGTCGACTCAGCCTATAACAGAAATGAGTACCAGAATATTCTTGGAATGTTCTTGGGGGTAAAGGGCGGCCGGCGCGTAAGGTTGACAACCTTACCGCTATCTATGAGCCTTTGTCTAGAAAATGTGGGACCCTCAACGTCTCACAACCCTATGGGCCTCTACGGCCTGTTACAGGGATTGCTTTACTTACCTTGCTGCTACATTGAAGGGAGAAGGAAGGCATGAACTGTCTTCGCTCACTCGAACATGGAATCGTGGGTTCGAATCCCACTCAAGGCATGAATGTCTGTGTACGTTTATTGTGTAAGTATAGGTATCGCCTCCAGAAGTGTAAAGATACAGGTTTCGTTCCCACATCCCGCCCCACGTGTCACTGACCAGAAAACTGCTGTTTCGCTATGTAATGAGAATTGTATTCGGAAACAGGGGCTGACCTGCTTATCGGCGGAGGTCCACAGGAAGAACGAGAGGTCGAGTCGTAGTGGACTGACGGCGGACTTTGCTGAACAGCTCAAGGACATATTGGAGTGTCCTGTGTGTTACGAGTTGCTGAGGCCTCCCGTCCTGCAGTGCGTCAACGGACACAGCGTGTGCGTGAAGTGCAGAGCGTACCTGAAGGGCAAGCCGTGTCCCGTCTGTAAGGGTAAGATGGAGGCCTCGCGCAACCTTGTGGCCGAGGCGCTATGTCAGCGGATCTGCTACCCGTGTCGCTACAAGCATTGCCCGCAGAGCCTCCTGCTGCGGGACCTGGTCACTCACGAAGCCGGTTGCGCCTACCGCCAGTACAGTTGCCCCCTCGTCACAGCTTGGCACTCCAATGGCTCCGTGACGCATTGCTCGTGGCCTCTGCCTCGTTGTGAGATACTGGGTCACGCTGAACAGCAACACCCCACGCAGGTGTGGCGCGGCTCCAAACATCATGTCACTGATTACAATTTTACCAGTCGTTTCCAAAAGTTTTATCTCATTTCTGCGTATGACGAAATTTTCCTCTGGGGTGGTCAGTATATGCCCAAAGAACACAAGTTCTTTGGGGCCCTGAAATTCGAGGGGCCTGTTAACAAAGCGTCAGAGTACATATATACGTTTACACTTTCGAACTCTTTGGGGAGGGCGACGTTAAAAGTGGAGCGTACTGTCCTTACTCCGCCTTTTGAAAGCATTTTCGGAAATGAAAGTTGTTGTGTGGTACTAGATTTACAAACCATCAAGAGATTTTCACAGGGTGACAAACTGTGCTTTGTTCTTCAGGTAGACTCACTGGCTGGCAAGGACGAGTAGCATTTGCCTGTGTAGTCTACAAGTTCCGTACAAATTTTTCAGAAGCATTATGTTTTAAACCTACTGTTATAGAACGCATTCCAATTTAAGAGTTCATGCAGAAATGAAGAAAGGAAAATACTACAATACTGCGAAATTATTTCTGTTGCGCTTACAGTTTGTAACCTCGGCCGACATTTTCTTGCTTCCATGGTACAGCAACACTACAACTCCGGTTGCTGCGATACATGTCATATGCATACCCGAGAGTGGGGACGCGTAATGCTTACATCCCAGTCTGTCTGAACTCCCTCTGTTCAGAATCAGAGCTGCTTTATGAAGAGTCGTGGGTTCCTAACTAAGTAATTACTACTAGGAAGCTGCCACCACGCAGCACAGCTTCTCCTGTCTACCCGAGGTTGCGGGTGAGAATGCTAAGCCTTGAAGTAGCAATGTTCCTAACAATATGGCTCCACTGTACAGCAACACCAATACGAAAATACATACAATATCTGAAGTCCTGTGTCTTTCAGCATTGTTTTCTTTCAGCACGTGACATCCCCTCCCCCTCACTTCAAGTCCCATACCAATCATATGAACACTGAGGATTTCACAAAGGCAGGAATTTAGATTCTTAGTCTCTGGGTTTTCGCTCCACACAATCTTGAATATAGTTATTAATAATGCAAATTCCACGTCAACTCAAGTAATTTATTAACTTATTAAGTTATTAACTTAACCAACACATGTTTTGATCATTAAAGGGTCATCCTCAGTTGTTGTAATTTACAAATTTTCATTATTAAATTATAAAGAATATATTCATATTTACATACATAAGCTTAAAGTGACTACTTTCTATATACATTTATATTCTGAATGCCAGATGTTGATTTAAATACAAGATATATATGGAAGTAAAAGTTAATAATTAAAAATTAATTTGATTTTATTAATCTTTAAAATTAATTTGATTTGGTTCGTCCTAATCCGTCACACTAGTAACAGCATAAAAGTTTATTGCAACGTGTTTGGAATCCAGAAGAGTCACTTCTATGGAAACGCTAGAACAGACCGTTACATAGGAAGTAACAATAGCGGCACTGTAATCCCAACAGTGAGCCGTTGTGTAGAGAACATCAAATCTCCACGGTTACGACGAATACGCGAAGCGTTCCCACAGAGACAACGCAATAACAATGGGTCATTGCGTAGGAATCGCGGAACCAACAAAGCAACGTTTCCACTGCTATAACAGAGGGTTCATTTGCATAGCAACGGCCGAGGGGATAAATAGCCCAGCTTCGGCGAGAAACAGTCAGTCTTTATCCAGCCGTCTAAGAAGTGAGTTTTGGAACATCCGCCGCGGAAGAGAGTCAGCTAGTAAACCGCCAGAGAAGACCGTCTAGTGTCGCCGAGACATTGCAAGCAGTAATTCTAACACTGCAAGAGCAAATGATTGTAAAGCGTGTGATTGTGTAAGTGTGAAGAACAATAAAGGTTCTACGGAATTTGAGACCTACGTGAATTTATTTGTAGCCTGACATGCAAAACACGCTACATTGGTGTCAGAAGTGGATTGGACTTATACACGTGGTCAACAAGATTCGAACTCAAGACACGCTACACTGGTGTCAGAAGTTTTACGAACTTACACACGCCACACACTGATTATTGTGCATCAAGTACTTTCCTGCAGCAAAATGGAGATGCAACAAATGATGGAACTTCTACTGAAGGAAATCAGAGAGAAACACAAAACGACGGAGGCCAATAGAAAAGCGGAGAAGAAAGAATTGCTGGCCTTAATGGAGGCAAACCAAATAGAAGCTGACGCCAGACATAACGAGATGATGGCCGATTGGAAAGCCTGGGGGGAAGAGAGGAGAACTAGCCACGAGAAGATTGGGCCCCACTCAGAAGTGATGCAGTCCGTACTGGAGCATCGAGAGGTCCCCGTAGCAGACGCCCCGATAATGCCGGTCAGAGAACCGAGGAAACGGAGTAGGGACCGAAAACTGGCCGCGGAGCGCCGCCGCCAGAAAGCGAAGAATTCAGCAGGGGAAAATCGTGGGCCCCAAAATGAATTGGCCGGCACACACAGAAGGACAACACGCCGAGTGGGAATTGCACGGAAAATGCAAGCCTACAAGAAGGTGCCCCGTCGCGCGACAGTGGCACGACGCATGAGAGACATCTGCAGGCTGAACACAACCCCACGCGCGGCAGTGGCAAGTCGAAGGAGAGATACCTTCAAGAAAGAACGGACCAAAGTTCAGGATGGGTGCCAGAAGAAATATGTCACCGCTCCCGTCAGGATGTCCCTCCGTACAAAAGTAGCACGACGGAGGGGACACATCAT